GGCGGGGGCGGGGGCCTCGCAGAGCGGCACAGCCCCGGCCCGGGGACTCCGACACTGCGGCGGCCCTTGCCGCTTCACACGACACACTCGCGTAACGTTGGGCCCGCGCTCGCTGAAGGACACAAAACCCGACCGTGGTTTTGGGTTGTCCGCGCTTGCAAGTGTCCCAGTGTGATCGACATCGACATAAAAGAAAAATTACCAATCCGAAAAATAATTTAGTATAACAAAACTGATCTTAGTGTAAGTTAGTAATGCCAAAGTGCAAGTAAGTTAACTTTAGGCCAAGAATGTAAAATTAGCTTGAAGAAAAAGCCCCGCCTCTAGCTGCTTAAGCCGCAAGGCAGCAGCACAATGTATAAAACTTGAAGAGAATAAATTCCCCTTCTCCACAGGGTTACTGTGGAGGGGACAAAAAAGCGAGCGAGAGACAGAGGCGGAGGGATGGGGGAGGATGGAAAAGAAAAGTGTCAAAAATACTGAAAATGGGCATCAAAAGTTACAATAGGCAAAATGAACATCTAGAAATACTCATAAAGAACTCAAACGATTCCTATTGTCAAAATTATTAAAATTGTAACAATAGTGAAAATACACGGCATGCCCAAAAAGGTCTGGCATTTTAAGACCAATTGAACCCCAGCCCGTGTATGCAGAAAAATCCACGCCTCACTAATCAATACGGTTAAAAACGGCTTGAGAAGTTGGGGCATATCTTAAAATTTCGAGTAGCAAGAATACAGGCCGAAAATTCAATAAGTGCGACATCACTGCAGTAATGTACTTATCCACCATACCGAAAATGGAAAACAACCAAAACATTATTTAATGCATGCAACTAAAACATTATCTAATATCAAGTCTCTAAGACTAACAAAATGAGTTTACAAAACCTGGAACAATCCAATCACTATTCATTGTGAATATAATAATTAAACATGTTTCTCAAAATGCAAATATTTGTTCTTTCTTTTTGAAATTAAAATGTTATATTTATCAAGATCTCAAAAGATTTGCTGTACTGAACTACTGCAAAAAGTCCCTCTATCCACATTAATTCAAAAACGTTATGCATAACATATTATTATTATTATTATTACAGAAATGTATGTTCACTTCTGTGATGGCACATTATGTCGGACGATTGCTTGACATTGCGTGTAGATACACTCACTATTCTCTGCTTTTAAAAACACAAACTTGGAACTCAAAAACAAAACGTGCAATGTTTGATTCGGTCACAATAACCGCACACACACTTTTCTCAAAGCGGAAATGTCGATTGCTTTCAATAGATCACACAATGAAATAATGAACAAATTACGGCAAAGGAAGAACTCATTCTATTAATTTTATGAGTTTGTTGAAATTTTGTTTATACTACAAAATCGGTTAATAATGATAAGCGATAAAAGTAGTCGGAAAAAAGAAAAATGATAATTTAGTTCTAATTTCAGAGCTTCATATAACTTCCCCCAAAATTAAAATATAGCAATTATCTCCGGAACGACACAACTAGATTCTACTCGACGTTTTAACCAAGTTTCGTCTCAAAAGCTTCCAATCAGTTCTGCGTGACATCCATACATCTGGATATTCATTCATTTTACAAATCTATTTTCAGGTACAAAATCGCGACCATCTCCTCTCCACCTATCTAATTTTTGGAACAGCACTCTTACGCCTTAATACTGACGAGCGTGCAAGCGACATTACTATAGTCGAGATCACACTGTTGAGGTGACGCAAGTGGTATAGGAAAAGATACTGTAGTAAAGGAAGGAAAAGTAAAAAAGGCAATTTTGTTAAACTTCCAGACTCCAGTGATTAATAACAGAGTTGTGACGGCCTCACGAATATAATTTTATATAATTCTTTTTCCTATTGTTTCTGAACAGTTCACAAATTTTATTACTATTATATCAGAGTATTTGTAAGTAATTGTAGTAATTTGTATCAACACAATTGTACACACGCCCACATAACATGAGATTAGAAGCTTGAATTAATCTCCAAAATGCCGTCGCTCCCAATGTAGCTCGTTCGGTAATTGTTATTCTTTCAAAAATGTACAACACCGTAAACTATTTGCATTATACACTATTATACCAACTGTAACAAAGAAAATATAACTGACAATACTATTCAGATTTTTGAAGTAGTATTGTCGACATCCGAGCCTTCACGAACTTATTTTGAAACCCTGCACCAAGTGAATTAATCTATTTTCCACAGGAAAAAAAATCGTATTTCCAAAATACCATCCGCACCTTTTCGGCATTTCCTAAATTCTTTAATACCATTCGCACCTTTTTAAAATCAACCATATCTAAACATGATCTATTAGACATTCCAAATAGAAATTAGTAGACATTCGGTTTCTTTTAACCGTCTTGCAAACTGTGTGGACACAGTGAAATTTTCTCAGATTTACAAGATCGTTTTTTATTGAAAATATGTGTCTTTATATTGGCAGTAAATATTTGCAGAGCTTCATTTTCATTTCAGGTCTTCGCTACCGATGAATCATGTGTTGCAAGTATTTGAGTTCTCCTGTAACATCCGAAAGAAAGCTAACTTAACATTAACGGTGTTGGCCATTCATTACAAATTCTTCAGCCGTTTTTATTGCGTAAATTACGTTTTGATGGAATTCAGGGGATCATCATCAATCATAAGATCAGGAGTATTAAAGCATGAAAATAAATAGGCAGGTTCAAACTAGCAAATAGTTTTTTTCTTTTTTTTTTTTTTCTCCCAAGTCGGTAGATTTGTCTGTTCACTTAACAATGGAATGTCGGAGGTATTTCTGGTTATTTAAAATTGTAATTTTAAAATTGAGTTTAAAAACTAAAACTCTTCTAGTTTCTAAACACATTCTAAATCACAAGTAGGTAACTTTAAATAATTTCAGTTTGTTGGAGAAGTTTTCAAATATGTATATCAAATCAACATTCGACTACATTGGTTGAAAGTTCACACAATGTTCGAAGAAAACAAACTTCATATTTCGGCAAAACCACGTCTACAGCTTCCCACATGTACCGGACAGAAAAAACACGAACGATCGTGATTTGTCGTTGTGAAGTTTCAAATTCGATGTGAAGCTGGAATAAAATAAGACCACTTTGGAGATTTGACACAGCAACAACTACTGCAAGCAAAATGTGAAACATTACGTACAGCTAATAAAAAACAAGGAATCCACTTTCTATATTTTTCTACAACATTCACTAAAAATATTTTCATTAATGCCACTCCACAATTTAGAGATATAAGAATGAACGCATTTAGAGAACTGGAGATGCAACATTTTTCAATTTGTGGAAGCACTACATCATACAAGAAATTCAGCATATTTTCGACACTGTCACCTCCAATACACAAAAAATATTCACCTAAATTTCACTAATTCATATAAACACAAACCAATTTATTTAGACGCGACATTAAATTCTAAAATAATAACACTGGGCAGGGGGAAATATCTTCCACAAAAACAGTATTCATGACCGTTGTGCAAATTTATGAAGAGTTTTCGCATCTATTCCAGAAGTTAATATGATATAGTTTGAGCTCGCTGAACTTATTGAAAGAATATTTTTAAAAAAATGAAAGAAGTAAAGTTCAAAACCCCTTATAATTTGTGAGTGATAAAACGTGAGAATTCGTGACTTTCACTGTGGTCTGGAGGTTCACACGGAAGGTAACACTTGTCACAAATTTTAATAAATTAAGTGATTGATAACCATTCCTGGGGTTATATATTAACACTTTACAAACACTTAAATTGACACAAAAACAATGCATGCTCTCGAACAAGTTGACAAATTGTGCACAACAGTATTTATACCCTTTTTCTTCATGTCATCGAACACTAAGTGACGACCAGAAAACGCCGAAGCTTCTGTTTTCGTATCTCAACATTATTTTCTACAATATTAATGCAAGGTTAACCTATACGGCCTTGACCGTACGACAACACCATCAGTAACAACCGATTAGATCCATAGCTAAGCAGCCATTTTCACCAAGGTTCACTTTTGTTTACAAATATCTCACCTCGAACTGCCAATGAGCAGCTTGTAGCAACTGTTTGGCCTGTTCTCTCGCACATCCTGCTGCTAAGACGAATTGGTTTATCATAACTTGCTCTCTCAAGGAGTCCATCTTTCACTAATACTGCACGAAATCACACACCGGATCACAACAGAATACAACTTGTTTTCAAAACTACTCATGCCCCAGAAGTGAATGACGTCAAGTTCTGAAACCCGATTGGCTACGAGTTGGCTGTTCCATTGGCCAGGCGGCACCCCCACTACCTACCTTGTTATTGCTATTCCGCGTAACTTACAGCCTCCCCAATTCAATTCCGGAAATCGGGTCAAACGTGTAAAATGTAAATACACAGCGTTGCCACATGACATTAATTACTATCATGTAAAACAAGTTTATTTGAAGTTCATTTCTATAATTTTCTCCGTTAACTTGACGTACTTAAATAGTTCAGGCCATTCACTCAGCATTTTAGGCACGTCGACTATTCTAACCCTTCATGAAGGCACGTGGGGAAATAAAATTTCTAACCTTATTAAAGTTTATAAAACATAAGGGGCCAATAATAAATAACAAGGTAAGCTCATTTCAAACTTTAATATTTAAGTTCTGTTTTTACATTGTTGAAAAAACAAATTATTTGCGAATAATCCTCAATTATATAATCTCTAATAGGCAAATTTACTAAAAAGCACCATATTTGCAAACTGCAGACTGAAACTAGGAAGCCTGCATTTCAAAAAAATTAAAAGAATTGAACATCATACATTTCTTAAAAGGACTCTACAAGTTGAAAGCAAAATATGTGACATACAGCTCATTCACTCCAACAACTTTTTAATCCTCATAACCTTATTAAGGCTACTGGCATGATCAACTACAGAAAATACTATGTTTAAACTTGTTTTTCCATAATACTTTTAGTCGTGAATCGACATAAAAGTAATGTCCTTTAAAAAATCCCTACAGCTGCTGGAACTCATTTTTAAAAACACTAGCACATAAGTGAAATGAACAAATCAACAAAGACTTACATACTACACAGCATACCCATTAACATTTAATTAATGTGTGGTAAAAAACTGAGTCAGTCAGTCCAAACAAAGAATAAATTCATTCCAAACAGCATACATCAATATGTAACAAACAATATTGGTAATATTCTCATTTGTAACAAACGTGATACTCATTTTCAACGTCAGCATAAATACTGCTGTATATAATACTGTTCTATTGCAGTGAATATTGCTTCAGAAATACAACAAATGTCAAGATATAAAATGAAATATATCTATCTCATTACGCATTCTCCATTTTTTCATGCAAGTTAAAAATAATCCTTCCTTAAAATATTAACACGCAACAAAGAAATGCAAGTTCTTTTTCCACGGTATTCACAGCATTTTCAATTGAGAACTAAAATGTAATACAGAAAACTGAAATTATTCACTAAATGAATGATGAAATTATGAATGTCCTCTCACAAATGGAATTGAGAGGTTATTATTTTCCCATTCTTAATTCATAAGAACCAAGCTTTCCTCTCGCATTTCAAAAAGATGCACACATAAACATATTGAGTCCACATTCAGAAGACATCACGGTTCAAAATATCCAGGTACATTCGCATTTGTTATGTGATACAACAATCCTTCAAAAATTCCTGCAACACAATGGCAATCTCTATACTGTTATTTTTACAGGATTATTAATGGATTTTTTTAATCTGGTTCCGAAGAGACATGTTTCATTCTCTGCACTATGATCACTATTAACCCGTAATTTAAATATATCAAAAAATACTTCTGCATTACAAAAGCAACTGTGAATTGGGTGAGAACATGAAACAACTTGGAGTAACACCTTCCAAATAGTGTTTTTTGGTTCACATTGTTATCCCATTTTGAATATCATAGAAGTCTAAGAAAACTCGAGCATAATTTTGAGATAAAAATCTTGCACCATCACTAAACCCTAAAAACTTTTTAGTATCATGAACACAATTAGAGCACACATTAGGGTCTGATCTTTCCCTTGAAGCTCCTACACTGCAATTTGAAGTACTTGGCACATCAATTTCACCTCCAGAAAAATTTAATTTCCTGATGAATGGCTTATTTTGATGTGTCTGAAACTGAGGACTACTGACTGAGAAGTCTATGCACTCACAGAAGTTATGCAATTCCCCAGTATCTTCAAATAATTCCTGCAATTTTTCTTTCAATTCAAAATTCTCTTCTTCACACGATTTCTTTCCACTGCCACTCTCACATGTTCCAAGAACAGAAGATTTCAGTTTGCTGCGTTTAAGTTTGTATCCATTACGTTTTTCCAAAATTTTACATTCACCATCTACTAAATCTTCATCCATCACAAGCACCTCGGACACTTTTGATCCTTCTGTGATTCGAACCAATGGACAGCAATGTTGTTGAGAAAATGATATGCTGGATCTCCAACCTTTCCACTCTTCATCCTCTGCCCCTCGAAACATAGAGCTGGAAACTTGTGGACGAATCCCGAAGGTACTCTTTCCTGTAGACTCCAACGACTCCAACTGAACATAGCAAGAACGCATAGTCTTCAAATTTTCATATTCATTAACATCAACCATGTGAACTGTACATTTATGAGTATCACCATATACATCCATAAAACTCACTTCATGAATTTCACCATTCCATTCTCTAGGTCCTTTCAAAGGGCTAAGGCCAGAATCATTTCTGAGTCTGGCAGAACAACTCAAATCAACTTTTCCAACATCCAGGCATACCTCATCCAATTTGGAAAAATTAATATTTGAATGAACTTTTCTGGATATCTTTTTCACATCAAATGCTCCCTTGGTATTTTTGCCCAAATTATACTTTTTACCTGCAGAACCATTGGGATAAGATTTCATTTTGGCAGTCAAATGTTCTAGTGATGAAGAGAAAGATGGGGTTGTGTGCTTCATCATGGAAAAGAATTACTTGTTTCACCTGCAACAAATTAATGAGAATATAAAACCCCTGCATAATTTTTATAAATATCAGCAATGGGACTAATGAGGTTAACATAGCAATCAAAATGTTTACTATAAAATAACAAATTTTCAATGTTCGACAAAATCACTTCACACTACAAAACCAATCTCAAGAAACTTGGCACACTTGGATGATTGTGAAAACAATTACACACCACCAAACTGAATAATCCCTTTTCAATAAAACTTATAAATATGACAACATATCAGATGTACATGAGAAGTGAAAAAAGAAAACCACATCAACATCAAATAACACAAACATTCCTGAATATTTGCCTAGCAGAAGAGCTAAGCACAATGACAAAATGTACATTATGATGAATATAATAATGATATTTCAGTCAGGGTGGCCATTCCAGAAATAATTACCAACTTTTCCACTTCATTTTACTGATATAAATTGTAAGATTTCACAAAATATAAAATAAATTAAATGATTAAATAAAAACAAGTCGATATGAAGAGGCTAAGCTCTTTTCTTTATGATACCTAATATTCTCTTGCACTAACTCAAGAAAGACAAACAAAGAATCACACAGAAACAAAAAATTTGGCAAAAACGCCAGTAAAAAAAAATATACAGAAACTATTTCGTTACATTGTCACTTAATTCTAAATTAAATAAATATGGGCTTAAAGACTTCCATTATCAAACCAAATTCACCAGAAAGTAATTTATTTATGACATAAGCATAAAAATGCTTCACAATGAAATTAGGTTCCTTACATAAAAAATATCTACATGAAACAGATTCAATTAATCCTCTGAATACTGCAAAGTAGAATGACAGATATTTAAATTACTACACATATCTAGCAATACTTTTACTGTTAGATTTCAACATGCCAACGACAGATGTAAAGCTGACAAAAGAAACAAATTCTAGCCAATTACCTGAAAACCATTTTACCAATGAGCAAATCTGTACCCAGATGATTCAATTCTTGAAACCACTTCATTAACAAAAGTTGAATAAAAAATCAGGCCATTTGTTTCCCAGGACAAAGAAATTAACATCGAACAGTTCAGACAAACATTTAAACATGCAATTTTTGATTGCACTAATAATAAACACAAAGCTGCCAGGTGCATAGACTTTATCTGTATACTTTTCTTATTCCCTCATAGGAACAACGAATTTGAGAGAAAATAAAGCAAAAGAAAACCAGTTTTCAAAAGACAACAAATGTTTAAAACATGAGTGAAATATAATTTTAAATTTTGTGAATTTTTTTAAAGTTCATTTTACACCCACAGCAACATTGGCAATTGTTTTCCGTTTTCCAGAACTATAATTGTAGCTGAGAAAACCGCTTCACAGATCATAATAATAATAACACAAGTAACAAACAAAGGAATGAAAGTCAACTGCCACAGTCACTAGGTTTCTACAATTCTCAAAATATATAAAATTTTCACATTATGAAAATGATTCACACCAACTGTAGTGCACTGATAATGCTTGAAAAACTCCTTCACATAGATACTTACAGGAAAGAATTTACATGTTTGGATGTTTTTTGTTTACCTGATGTATACATTCAGTTACATCTAGGACACATCACATTGTATACACCATTTTAATTCTCAATTAAAATTTTGTAAGTAGTGTATCTATAATGATTCACAAAAAAATCTATAGGAAAGGGCAGATGTACAATACGTGCATAATGAAATGTGAAAGATAATTTTCATAATTTTGATAGCAATACTGAGAAGGTTTTACATAAAATTATAATTCACAAAATCAGTGCAACCTCGCATCACTATGAAGTGGAAGACGACTGTGTGCTCCCTGTGTGGTGAACACCACGAACAATATATTCAAAGATGCAAGAAAGGAAAGTGTCTGTGGCAACTAAAACAGTGACAGAATATAGCAAATAACTATAATTACATTTTTATGCACTTTCATGCTCACTCCATTATCCATCCATTTATCACAAAACTTTCTACAGCTACCACAAGAGCACAAATTACAAACTGACCTGAAAGTTATTTCAGTGATTTACTATTTTTCAGTGATTCATTTTTTTACTTTCAGTGATAAACTTCCCCTAACCACACGTCTTCCAGATGATAAATTTTAAATAATTAATATTTACAAAATACATTGGGAAATATTATAAGATTGCTATCAGGGGCATATTCAGCCAATCATTTTAGGGAGGGCCATCGTAGATTTTTGTTAAATAATAAAACATTTGTTATTATACTGTATATTATGAAACACAGAGGTACGATGCCATAAAAAATATTATTTTTTAAATACTAACATAATTCAAACATAAATTAATATTTAAAAGAATTTGGCAAATGAAGATAAACGAAAATTCTAAGCCTTTTGGAGGGGTGACATGGCCCTTGCCTGGATCCACCAGTGATTGCTATCTAAAGTTTTAACTTTCAGTACTGAAATTCTCACAAATCTATGGTGAATACACAAAGCAATAACTCAAAATTAGATTACTTTCCAGACATACTAGCATTCATAAAGTGAATGTAACCACAAATTTTTAATGAAAAAATTAAAAGTTTACCAATTACAATATTACAGAACTGTTTAACAATATTGGTTACAAATTCCAATGCAAAACTTTCATATTTATTGCATTTAACAATTTTAATTCTAAATATAAAACAAATGTATATAAAAAATACAAATAACGAATAAAGTATTGTTAAGCAAGAACAACTACAAATACTTCTTTAGTTACCCTACAAATTAGGTGTACACAATTACATAAAATTCTTCTTGAGCAGGTTGATTATGATGATAGTCAAACAAGACAAAAAGAGACCATATAGGAATATTGCCTTCAAATTAATTTACATTGCCCTTAACCAAGACATAAAATAGATTTGTAATACAAATACAGAATTACAATAAAATGAATTTGAAACAATACCTATTACATGCAAATTAAGACATTAAAGCGAGGATTTTTATACTAAGCAATCAAATGTAGCTCATGATAGCTCACACATATCCTTCGCAATATATTTACCAGGATGCCCCCAAAACCACTGAACTTAAATCACATCCATGACACTTAAGTTGGGAACAAGAACTCCAGCATTTTATTAATTCTGGGCAACGAGGTGAAATACAAAACGCCTTGAACACTAAGTTCCTGAATCACCACGACACTATTTTGCCCACAAACTTACCGCAATCATGAAATCACTGTCTAAACAATTCCAAACTTACCTCATTTCAACTTCATTACAACTATCAGATGCACAAGCAAAGCTGTTCTTTGAGCGTCCCACGTTAACCAACGTCACGACTATATTCAATTCAGATATTTCATCCTTTCGTCTTCATTTGCTCCTAATGTGCAAAAAATGGCTTTTTAAATAAATTTAAAAAAACTCTGAATAATTATATATCGCACAAAATGCAGACACGTATAACTTAAAATGATTGTCAAATTCCACTTATTTACAAATACGTTGGCAAATGTGGGACTAGCAATGGCCGCCAACATTTCCAAACGCGCCTTTTTGTATTTTCCGACTTCCTGACGCGGGAAAAATCTCGATATATTAATCGATATATAGATATCGATGTACCCAATTCTCAACGATTGTAGTTATCAAACTTCCGGTCGATCACATGATCACGAGCTGTCATGTTCTTTATTGTAATTAATCTTTGTGACACTATACTGTGATCAGCAGTCGGGTACGTGTATATTGTAGTCGAGTGTAGCTAAGAGGACAACTCGCGATGGCTTCCGAATACGATAAACCTCCTCCTTATACCCCAACACCTGCAGCTCCAGGTAAGATAACACTTCGATTATTTGTTTGCCACAGCATTTCATTTACCTAGTCTATTCATGTGCTTTATTGTTCCAAAGCAGCCTATGGCAACAATCCTTTACCTCCTGGATATCAGCCATATCCAGGACCCAGTGCCCCGCTCCCAGGGCAGTATGTACCAGCGTATGGAGCTACATCTATCACTGTACAATCTACACCTGATATCATAATCGTTGGGGGATGTCCAGCTTGTCGGGTAAGTAGTATGTTTCATTTCGAATGCTAATGCATTTTTATTCTTGTATAACCTTTTGTGATCGTGGAGTACTACTATATACAAATAACTATAAATAAAATGAGAATTGTCAAGCTTGGAGGTTTCAGCTTATAGGTAAATTAAATATTGACACAGGATACTGTGAAAAAAATTGAGAAAGGTGTTAACACATTGGTTGCCGTGAGAAATGTAATGTGATGCTTACAGAATTGATCAGTATGGCTTGGAACATCAAACGTTGATTCTCAGTCATGATGAGTTGATGTAAGCTAATCCAGAAGGTTCATCATTATCTTGATTATTGTGGCAGTTATCATGCTTCAACATTGCATATTATTTAATTGGTCCAGAGAACCTTAAAATTTCCAGATCATTATTCAGTTGAAAGTCCCTGGAGAAATATATAAATACATGTGTAACAAAAGATATTTTATAGAAATCAAGCATATTTTTTTTACATTGTTACTTAATCGGATTAAAGTAGAAATGATAAACCCTCACTAAGGTCCTTCACTCATTTACCAATGCTGTTATTGTTATTAATGTTAGCAATTTAGATGTAGGCAAAGTAGTGTAGTATTTTTGAGACATTATGCAGTGTAATTAAGTTATATCTATATTTCATCTTAAAATTTTGTGAGTGATTCAGTAAGGTAATTTTATGCTTGAGGGTGCCGTAATACGTAAATCCAACCCTGAACACAAGCAGTTCTGAAACTTCCTAGGATTGCTCAGACAAAATGTGCAGTGACAAAGGGGATAGAGTGAATTTTTCAATTGACTTTTCTCGATCATAGCTACTTGTTTTAATATTGGTAATAAATATTTTCCAGATTTTTAGAACCTAAAAATCCAAGCCCTAGTAATTTCTTATGGCTTTAGTTGCATTTTTTAACCGTTTGTTGCCCAAGTCCTGGAATGCTTTTGTGATAATGAAAAGTGACAAAAAATTTCTCTTTTTGTATTTGATCTATGACATTGTAGTAATTCTACTACTCTTTACGGTGATCTGTTACTTCTGAACTCGGTTATGGTTTGTGGTACCTTCGAATAAATTTTCCCCTCTATTCTTGAACAAGTAGTTTCAACAGCTTGGTGAAAAGCCTGTATTTATGGAAAAAAAAAAAATGTAATTAGTAGAAGTGATACAATTTTAGTATATACAGATTTGTTTGAAAGTTGTTATAAAAACTTCCAAACCACTGGAGCAATTGCGCTAAATTTTACATTGTCATGCGGAGCAAAACAGTGAGAGAAGGTGGAACAAATTAATTCTTGGGCAATACCAGGTTTCATCAGCTAGTCTTCTCCCTCAGACATTAGACCTGTTGATCCAGTGCAACTCGATCACTCTATCGTCATTTCTGCCAATGCATCTTTTCCCTTGAGGTGTGTAGAATTGGAGTTACATAGGTAAACTATTATTTTCCATTATTAGTACATGGCCTTTTCATTTCTTTCTATATTCTTCTATTTTGTCGTTTTGATTGTAAATCCCAAGTTTTTCCCGGATGGACTTGTTTTTCAATCTTGTTACTCCTAGGATCAACCTCAAAAATCTCATTTCAACAGCCTGTACTCTGCTGTAGGATTTGGAATTTATAACCCAGTTTTTATTTCCATACAAGCCACAAGGCACTGCCATAACTTTGTAAAATTGTGGGATTGTGGCATTTCGTACTTTAAACTCTGTGGTTTTTGATAATTCACATCCTAGAAATCTAAAAGTATTTACTTGTTCAATTATTGTATGTTTTAAAACGAGCTTACATCTTACGAAGTGAGAACCTTGGAGCCATGGACTTGGTTTCACTGGAAGATAAATGCAAATTGTAGAGCTGTTTTGTACAATTCATAGAGGGCTCTCTGTAGATTGTCTCCATTATCTGCAACTAAAACGGATCATCTGCAAACAAAAGGGTTTTAATAAAATTTGCTCCTTTGACTTTGTCTTCAATACTAAAATGTACAAGCCATTGCTTCCATTCCCTTACAACATTGTCAAGGTATATATTAAAAAGAATTGGTGAAATACAACCCCCTTGTTTGACCCCATTGTCAATAGTTTCTTCCAAAAGGTGTCCTGATTTTAGTTTACATTTATCCATGTACCTACATTCATATTGTGGATAACTCTTATTAGGTGCAGCTAGTATTTTCTTGTATAATTTCTCAGATCATTCTTTTAGTATTTGGCCTAAATGAATCTTGGAGCTCATGATATGTTCACATTCACAGAAAATCCAAACCAGCATATTGGTTGACTTGCGAAATATTTTTTTTTTAATTGTTATAATATTGTTTAATCTTAACGTTAACAAAATTATGTGAAATGAAACAGATTTGACCCTAAATATAATCAGTGGAAATTTTCTTCTTTTCTATGTGATTCCCAAACCACTAGACTATATCATGACAAATAATATTTGAATACCCAAAGGGGTATTCAAAGTAAGGCAATGTTCAAAATGTTTTAGGGCACAAACCAACAAATTATATAAATGCCTTTTTATTATATTTTTGAATAGATCACTGACCCTTCCGATTGCTGTAGCACTAAAATTATTTATTTCTTAAGATATACTAATGGTTCTCTTTTCTTAAATAGATACTAAAATTAATATGTTTGACATTGACACACTCTTTATACCATTGAAATGTACAATTTTATATTGAATGCTTTCTTTTTCAGATTGGAATGCTAGAAGAGGATTATACCTGTCTTGGAATATTTTGTGCAATCTTCTTTTTCCCACTGGGAATTCTGTGCTGCTTGGCATTGAAAACCAGAAGGTGCTCACATTGTGGAGCATATTTTGGTTAATTCATTCATTTGCGCAGGAAGTTTGAGACTGAATTCTCACTGAAGTTATTATTCCTGTACATGTCACTCTCACCATGCAAAATGGTAATTAAAACCAATGAAGTGTTTACTTAAGATTAAATGCATATTTTCTGTTTTGTTGTAAATTTTAGTTTGTTACACAATGTGTGTTGTATGAATCAATGCCAATAAGTTTACCCACTGAAGATACTGTTAATTTACTTCTCTGTGGAATTTGGGTGTTATTTTATAGGATATTTGCATTTTGTAATCTATGGATAGATTATTTTTATTCTACAAGATTTATGTGAACGAATGTAGAGAGAAATTTTTAGGTATATTATTGTAAGAATTCTTTATATTCTCTCTTATATATTATGTATCCTATTGAGATCCTGCCAGGTTTAAACATGTTATATATGAAGTTGTGTGTGCTTGATGTAAATAAGATTTTGTTCTCCAGCAACATTCATGAGAATAATCAAGTTGTTGGAGATATTAGTTACAGAAGTGGTATTTTTACACTAAAACACTTCTACTGTAACACATTTTATACTGTATAAAAATAAAGTATTTCCTTTTTTACTTTTTGTTTCATTGCTTGGTTTTTCAAAGCTAATGCCATGAGTGCTATTAGTAAAGAAATTTTCAGGTACATTTTATAATTTGTGACTCAGGAATTTATTGGGCAACAGACAAGTGGTATTTAATAAGAATATTCTTTAGATTAATGAAATTAGCCCACAGAGTTTCCGAAATCAGACATTGAAAAGAGAGAAAAAAAGTTTCGGAATTCAACAAATATATCAATGAAACTTGGACTTCCAGTTTATGCCTTAATCTATGATTGGCCGGTAGAGAGAAGTGATAAGAGAACATGAGATTTTTTATTTTTTATAATTTGCAATGGTTGAGGCATACCATATACACTATTAGTGTTAATTTCACGAGTGAAATAGTCCTTATTGTCAAGCTTTTAATTTTAAAACTTACTACAAATCACTAGTTAATTTTACTTCATGTGAGTTTTTTTATGCAATTAAAATCTGATTAGTGAATATCAGAGCCCCTTGATCCAGTATCATTTAAGAGTATGGCAATGATTTGATGTATTTTTATCACACCAGTAAAAACCTATAACCCAAACCTGTGATCTATGGGGCAAAAATATAAATCTACACATGTTTTCGTGAGATCCAGAATCTGTGCCCCCACCTTTTTACTAAACATATATGAATGATCAATAAATGTACAAAGTTAGCAACATTTGAAAAATAAAAATTTTAGGAATAGAGTAATAGAAGGAAATTTGCTCAATTAACAAACTACATATTTGATCAGTGGCATAGCATGGCTGTCAGCCGCCCAGGGCGGAGGAAAATTTTGCTGCCCTATAATTAGGTATTTCAGTTTAAAAGACTAAAATATACAAGCTTAAACAACAACAGATAGTCAAACATACAATTGAGTGAATAAATATATTTAACACATACTCAAATGTATAAGTTCATGAATAATAAAATTTTCAACAAAGTTCAGTAATATTTACCATCACTACATGTACTTATGAGCACTAAATTCACAGTTTGGAAAGAGCATATGATTAACTGGATGTGAATTGGATGACTGACAATCAATCTATCAATGAAACTTTCTTTGAACTGTCAAAGCATAGTTCATGGACATCCCTGAAGGGTCTTAGTCAGGCTGTAATGTAATTTGCAGGTGTTATTATACAATATTGAACACTATTATTTATATAATAGAAGTCATTTGCGCTGACTATTGGTCATAAACAATCCATGAACAATATTAAATATGGGTAATCCCTTCAAGTCAGTACAGACTGTGTTGCTAGTTGCTACAATAAGCAAAATATGATCATTTTATAATTATTTAAGGAAGTCACAAAGTAAGTAAAGAAAGATTCTGTGCTCTCTTTAATCGGTCCAAATCGTAGGTGGGACAAAAATATGAAAAGAAATTATTCAAATTTTCACAATACATTAATAATAATAATAATAATAATAATAATAATAATAATAATAATAATAATTGTGAAATTTTGTTACCTTCACTACACAACATCACAGTATTTGCTAATCCAGAACCTAGTCTTAGTACAGCATGGTTTCTATTCTGTCCAGGACATGAGAATACGTCACAACAGATGAACCCTCAACTAATGACGTCACATACATGTATGTGAGTTTCAAGCTCCACAATGTACAGGTTACCCGCAATACGCATTGCAAACAATCCAAAACAAAATACGGTAGTAGGGAGTATCAGAACATGTCAGTGACGTGATCTCTTCCTCCGCAATACAGCTAGTTCCATCCTGCAATTTATAGACTAAACACTGTTATGACATGATTCCTTTCTTCACAGTACAGTATTTGCCTTGCCTTAAAGAACAACTTTCCAAAATAAAAAAAATTATTGCATTTTTGACTTGTTCCCTATTTTCTCATGCTGATTCATTTGGATCATGCATGATAAAAACTAGGAGAGTGTTTAGTTCATTGTGAGTTAAATAATGCTTTATAAAGCAAACACCATCTATTTGACTTAAATCGCGCTGTAATGTTGCCTCCATAAATTCAGTTGAAAGAGACTGAACATTATGGTGTATTTTTCGAATATTCTGCATGTATCTACAAGGATATTTTTCTGCTGGATCTGACCGTAGTTTTTATTTATTATCTAATTCCTTCCCCGAGCGTGTGGTCGAAGGAAGAATCGTCGCCCAGCAGTAACAGGAGGTGGGGCGATAGAATAAGGAGAAGCTAATAATAGAGAGTAGTCAACTAGAATTACGGTCTCTGTCGCGCGATAAGATGCAAGCGGTCCAGGGGGCGGCGGGCACACAATGCCGTCGAGGTTCGACTAATACTGTTTTGCAAGCCCTACTAGCGATGCCATTTCCGGCAACGCAAGACATGCCAATGCCTACTCAGACAAATACCCACTCGCTCAACCGGTACCTACTGGAACAACCTAGCAGCCACACTCGGCATCACGCCCAATGATCCTGCAACACCCTACTTTCCAACCAATAATATACAACAATACATATATATACTAATACCCTACGCCTACTATACTACTACGCCCTAATATCTCATATATACAGATATATATACTATATTATACATAGATATACAATATACATCATATATCATATATAATATTAGTACTATCATGACTCCCTACCTATACCCCTATATAGTTACACTCATACTCACTATATATATATAGCTATGATATATGAACGGCGAAACAATACGACTTCATAGTATCACCATTGGACGGGTCAATCCATTAGCCAGCTCCCACAATCGGTTATCGACAGCTCCCGACGGCACGGTTCCATCTGCGCCAGCCTTCCGCCCCCCGTCGTCCGTCATGATCTGGCTGATTTCATAACGCTTGAATTTGAAACAGATATTTTCAATTTTCGGGAGTACTTTTTCATGAAACCCCTGGGACATTTTCCACATTTCAAAAAAATGGCTTCGTTGTTCTTTGATTGAATGTAGTTGGTGAATAGTAATAAAGGACGTTTAGAAGAATGGTCTTAGGTTCTTTAAAACCGATTCCTTTTTCGAACATTGCAAAAGTTAATTTTTTTTAGTCTTTCTACACTAAAATAAAAAAGAGATATTTTTGCCACGAATGAACTTGTTCTTAAAGGTAGATTTTAAATAAGGTCATTACAAATTTTCGAAAATTTGAGTACTTTTCGCGTAATTCGGTGAAAATAGAGGGGAGAAAGTAAGTGCTGTTTAGCACCTTCTGTTTATGTCACAATATATGAGGACCACCTTTTTGATTTTGTAATATAATACATTGTGCCAGACTATCAAATGATTGGGTTGTCTATGAATATTAGGCTAAGTGTGTGTTTTGTGTGTGTTGTGTGTTTTTGAAGTTTGTTTCGGTGTGTGTGTGTGTTTTTTTGTGTGTGTTTTTTGTTTTTGCTCGTGTCTTTGTTTGTGTGTGTGTGTTTTTGTTTTTGCTCGTGTGTGTGTTGTTTTGTGTGGTGTTTTGTGTGTGTGTGTGTGTGTGTTGTGTGTGTTTTGTGGTGTGTGTGTGTTGTGTGTGTGGTGTGTGTGTTTGTGTATGTGTGTGTGTTTTTGTGTGTGTTGTGTGTTGTGGCTGTGTGTTTGTGTTCTGTGTTGTGTGTTCTTGTGTGGTGGTTTGCTGTGTGGTTTGTGTGTGTTGTATGTTTTGTGTGTGTGTGTTTTTTGTGTGTGTGTGTGTGTTTTTTTTGTTTTTTCTATCTGTGGCAGGGCAAATTCAAAAGACACAGCGGGCCCGCAACCCGCAGCGTGTGGGATTCATAGCTAGCCTATGCTACCACACAAAACCCCTCCCTTTCTCCCTACTCCCTCCCCGGGAACCGCCGTCAGGCATTGCATCGCGCGAGAAGGAAGGATGGGCTTTTCGCACGTCACCGAAATATACGGGAGTCTTCTTCGAACTGCTCCTCGGAGCGGAGCGTCTTCAGGACTTTTGCGGCATACTGGCTACCGCACTCCAATCTCTTCGTGTCAGCAGCATCTAGTGCGATGGTCTCAGGGTCATGTCCGTCTGGAGAGTTCTGTGAAGTTTTCCCTTCCAACTGCGATGCGTGGACAATAGAAAGAACACCGTGTTCTACATCTTCAATACCCGGGAAACACCTTGGGCATGAGAGCTCTATGTCCAATCCCCAGATCTGGCTGACTAGCTCCCCGAATACACCATCGCCTGTCAGCACTGAGTTAAGATAAAATCTAATTCTCCATTTTCCCTTCTGGATGACACGTCATGTGATCGGGAATGAAATGCGTAAATGGTCCTAGCCCAGTATGAGATTTGCTCCATCGGTCGTTGCCATTGGTCCATTGTCACTCCGTCACTCTCTTCTGGTATGGATTTCCAGTTTGAGGCCCTCCCGCTTGCCGGCAACTAGAGTCTAGCTTGCTCCTGCGCACATGAGGTCGATCGGAGCATATCTCGCTAACACCACACAACGCATCATAAGATACGGTGCGAAACGCTCGAGCAACGCCCAAGGCGAATTCTATGCACCGACTTAGCCCACGGCGTATGACTGAATGCCATGGCATCAAGCCAAATAGGGCTGCGTAGAGAAGAATGGAATTTACTACGTAGTCACAGCTTCGGCTCTTTGCCCAGGATCCCTCATTAGCATAATGCTCCAATGCGGATGCCATAACCGAGAACGCTTCTCGGAGACATTGCGCAGTCGTCCGTCAAAGCGTCAGTCTGGCGTCAATATTGGAACTCCAAATACTCAGTGACAGCTGCGAGATATGTGTGCAGCCTCCTACATAAGAAATACTCTCTCTCACTCTGCCCGTCACCACAAGCCTCTTATGGCGCTACTCGGTAGCCTACCGGAGTACAGCCACCGCCGATCCCCACGCCGTTGGCACTGCCGGACTTGTTTCGATTGTATTTGCCGACAACGACAATTGCAACATCGTCAAGCGAATCAATCGTTCTTCGCCCTTCCGAACAACTCGAGCTTCAACACGACCGCGTCATACATAATGTTCCAAAAATCGACCAATACCGAGCCTTGTGGGCACTCCGCTTGACCGATAAGATTGTACCCACCCAGTTCATATAGGAGGATTCTCTCCTAATAACTTTTTACCAAGTTCGAGATGTACTTGAACTCAAAGATGG